GCCGAGATGCTCGCCGACATCGTTACTGCAGCCGCGGCCCACGGGCTCGAACTACACCTGGCGAAGACAAATATGATGACCAAGTTGACCAAACGCACAGGCCGAGCATGCGCGCGATCAGTCAACATACGCGGCATGGGAGTTGAGATTTTACCGCCCGACGGGAACCTCAAGCACCTGGGGCAGACCATCACATTCAAGGAGCCAATGGCGGTGGAACTGCAACGCCGGATCAATTGCGCATTGGCCGCATTCACACACCACTGGCAGGAGCTCACGAGCAACAGCTACCCACTGAAGCACCGACTCAAGCTCTTCGACGCCACTGTGACTCCGACTGCATTGTACGGAGGGGGCACGTGGACACTCACAGAGTCCATGAAAGGACAGCTCAATACCACACAACGAAGAATTATCATAATGATCATCAGCACGCCACGACGCCCGAAGAACCACCACGACGAGCACAGTGCACAGGCTACAACCAATTCGCCAAACTATTTCTCGGGCAGCACTTCCGCCACCTCTGCGGCTTCTTCTTCAAAGACCACCAATTCATCTACCACCACGTCCTCTGGCGATGACGTCGGCAGCACCCCCGACGAACCCGAACTCCCCGAGTCGGTCGATCTGACCAACCTGATCGCTGACGACCTTACCGAGCCATGGCTCGACTTCATCCGCCCCGCAACACACAGAGCGAATTATTTGATGGACCTACACGACATGGAGCCATGGGTCACAAAACAGCGACGACTTCTGTGGAGACAGGCCCACACAATAGCCCGTCACAGCGCCACCTGATGGGCCCAACAAGTTGCTCACTGGCATTCTGGTCTCCTTGCGGGACAATGAGAACAGCGCCAACAAGGTCGACAACCGAAACGGTGGGAGGACGAAATACACGACTGCATCCGACAGCGGGTTACGACCACGCGCACGAACGACGGTTTGAGTGGCGCCATGAGTGAAATTACGTGGATCCACGTAGCCTCCGACACAACCCACCTGGATGAGCATGGAGTCCGACTTCATCTCATCGACGGGAGCCCAGCACCCGAACACGACGACCAAGACACCTGCCAGCACGACGCCAACCGGCGCCGGCGCCGGAGCCAGCTCCAGCAGGGAAGGTCGCTAGTGCAGCCTGGCCTTTGCTTTTCCCAGACCGTGTACGCACAGAGAGGTTGCGACCTCCACGCTCTGGCTCAAGGAGGCGAGGACCATGTCCTGATGAGAGTGCGAATGCGAATACGAATGCGAACGCGAATGCGACCCCAAACGTTAATGCATGGCACTGTGGCCGTGTAAGTCACGTCCCCTCTCGTTAGTTCAAGCTGTGCGCGGCCCGCTTAGCCTCGACCGGAAAAGGTGCGCTCTCGACCCGCGGATCAAAACCGTGCAAGGCACGCCATGCACCAGCGATGAGCGTCTCTGCGGTCGTCTTTCGAAGAGCAGGTCTGCATCCTCGGGAACGGGCAACGACCGGAACGGCAACGACCGGAAACGGGCGGAGGGGGAGGAGGAGGAGGAATGGGGGGGAGGAGGAGGAGGAGGAGGAGGAGGAGGAGGAGGAGGAGGAGGGGGAGGAGGGGGAGGAGGAGGAGGAGGAGGAGGAGGCAACGACCGGAAACGGGCGGCAGTGGGCCGGAGCATGACGAGTCCTCGGGACATCCCCCAACAGGCGGCGACGGGCGGCAGCGGGCGGCACTGGCTGGAACGCTGCGAGTCCTCGGGGCACCCCCGCAGGCTGCCACGGGCGGCAGCGGGCGGCAAGGCTGGAGCGTGGCGAACCCCCCCGGGACACCCCCGCAGGCGGCGACGGGCGGCAATTCGGCGGCAAGTCTCTGCACGAACGAGATGGGCACGGAAAGAATGGGTACAATGCCCAACAGCAGTTCTTGTTCATTTTGAACAGGACTCGCTGTCCGCGCCGCCGCGGCCTGTGTCCATTCGAGACAGAAGGCCGCCTGCCCAACAGCGGCCGCTGTTGGTTAGGGACAACATTTGTTGTTGGGCATTGTGTCCATTCTTTCGGTACCCATTTCGGGTGTCCAAAAAGTCACCAGAACGTGGCGAATCCTCGGGGCACCCAATCAGTTCCTTGGAAACGCAAGTAAGAACCCTCAATTGCTAACCTTGTTTTTGGAAATTATTAGAAAAACTGAGGCGTTTGAACTATTTTGGCCTCTCGGGGGCGTCCTTGAGAAGTTTGGAAGCCATCTTGGGCCATGGTGTGCCATCTTCGAGGCCGTCTTGATGCATCTTGGGCAATCTTGGAACCATCTGGACCGAACAGCATCTCAAAGATGCCCCTGAACAGCCAACGTCATGTCATTGAACCAACCTTGTTTTTCAAGGGGTTTGATCCTCGATGAAGCTGCCGAGATGCCGGAGTTGGAGGTCCCTGTGGGGCACGATCCGTGTAAGTGGTGTGCCGAATTGGTGGAGGAGAAGCACGGGGGCAGAGTGAGGAGAGCGTCCTCTGATGTGTATACATTCGCGTACAACGCAGCATCAGTCTATGTTGGAAGCGTAATCGCACGTTTTTCTTCTCTTGGGGCCCTCGTTTCGTCGAGGCCTTTGTGATCCCCGGCCTTCCTCCAAATGCGGAGGGTGATGATCTAACTCCCCGCCGCCAGGCTTTCACGAGCTTCATAATGTTCATCATCGCTGCAAACGTTGCTGGCCCAGCGTCTTCAACGGGGCCTCTTCTGTTCAGTGTTCGGTACGATCGGAATTGGTATGGAAAGAGTGGAGACGAAGACTGACAGAAGCACCTGTCCGTTTTGAGCAGGGCTTGTTGTGATACCGCCGCGGGCGTGGTCCATTTGAGACATACGGCCGCCTGCCAAACAGCAGTCGCTGTCGGTTTTGGACAACGTTAGTTGTTGGGCTTTGAACGCATTATCTCCGTACGATTCCGGACGTCCAAATGTGTGTGTGTGTGTGTGTGTGCTTCCCTATCGCGACCATGCGTGCCTTGCGGAGATCGTGAGGAAGCGCTGCTTGTGCGGGCGATCCGAGTTGGTGAGAAGGACGACATTGGTCGCGTCAAACACCCAGGCGTTCTTCGGTTTCAGTGTGGGCTACCGCCCATGCGTGGTTGGTCCAGGGGCATCCTTCCGAAACCTTGCGAGGGGTCTGAGGCCAACGTTGTGATCCAGTCGGACGGGGGCCTTCGCGACGGCGATTGTGCCGCGGCTGCTAGGATGATTGGTTTACGGGGGAAGCCCGCTGGTGGCCACCAGTATAAGCATGAACCCATCGCTGTACGCGGGACATTTCTCCATTTACCATTCACGGTTCTCGGAGCAGAGGCTATCGCATTGGACGAAGCGTCAAGGGAGGTTGCCGCTCCACTTTTTCCTCAGCTCAGGCAAACGGCTGGCATTTAGGTGCCTCGAGACCGTCACGGACAAAACATAACCATGAATGAATTTCTAAAACCCGCGGTCGGGGATACGCCCACGGCTGCTGCTGTGGACCATAGAATCCACGCTGCGATTTCCGAACACAGCTACAGTGGGGTGCACTTCTGGTATTTTCATGCCGACGGGGACCTGATATCCCCCCAGGCGTCCCATTTTTGACGCTCCGCGTATCCCCTCCAACTCATCCTGGAACTACTCCCAGGAGAGTTGCCGTGAAAAGGGAAGTGGGGGATCATGCGTGAAACGAAGGTGGGAAACACCAGTCTAACCAAAGTGTGGACTAGCTCAAGCAGCCCATACAATTGCCAACTTGGCTCCTTCTTGGAGCTCTTGTAGGCCTCTTGGAATTATCTCTCGGCTTTCTGATTGAGGTCCTCTTTGGGCTCTCTTGCAGCGCTTTTGTGAGCCTTTCGGGTCTCGTGGGCCATGCTAGAAGCAAACCGCAAAAAGAAAAAGACTGCACGCCATTTCTTGTAGCGCTTGAAGCAACTTGGGGTCCATGTGGCACTTCTGGAGCCCCTCTCGGGGCTTTCTTGGGCCGTCCTGGGGTCCATCTGAAGGCTCCCGACGCCCACCAGAAGCCGAGAGGGCCAGAAGGCGAAACACATCCGGGGCGCCAATGTTGGGACGGATATTAAGGTGTGTCAGTGAGATGTTCATCGTTGCGATCTACACTGTTCAGCAGGAAGGCATCTCTACCCACGTGCGTACCAGCGAGTTGGGCAAACTGGACCTCTCACCGACCGCGGCAGCCTCAAAAGCAATTAATCTGGCGAAGGACCCAATTGTATGCAGCTGCGAGTACCGCAAGGCGGGTGGAAACTAAGGGAGGGGCCAAAAAGGATTAAGGCGCGCATGAGAAGGACGGAGTGACGTTGCTGATGGGGTCGCAGGGGTCAGCCGCAACGGGTTACATCTGGAGTAACCCGCCACGGCTGATCTGAGCGTCTGCCGACCCGGCCCTGGGGAGCAGCAGGGCGCGGTCCGGGGAGCCAAGGCGGCGGGGCCGTTGGTGGCGCTGCATATGCGGTCATGCCTGCGATTTCTGCCGACGGGGCATTTGGTGAAGCACCCTTGGGGGCCACGAAACGAGCGATGGGTGTGTCGAATTAGGCGCGGTCACGCAGGCATTTCCCGCCACTGGGGCCTGCGGCGGAGCTCCTTGTGGGGCCAAGAAGCGTGCGAAAGGTGTGCCGAAATGGGTACGGTCACGCATGCAATTTCCTTCCAATGCGGCCTCAGGTGTGCCGAAATGGGCGCGGGCACGCATGCGATTCCTGCCACAGGAGCCTTCGACGGAGCTGCCTACGGGGCCACGAGGCGTGTGAGGGGTGTGCCGAAATGGTCTGTCTGGATAAGGCATGCGTTCGCAGCCATTTGGGCCTTAGGCGGAGCTTCCGATGGGGCCACGAAACGTGTGAGGGGTGAGCCGAACTTCTGAGGTGGCGACATGCGGGCGCAACCACTGTGGCCTTCGTTGGAGCTCCCTATGGTGCCACGTGTGAGGGGTGTGCCGAAATGGGGATGGTCACGCATACGATTCCTGCCACAGGAGCCTTCGACGGAGCTGCCTACGGGGCCACTAAGCGTGTGAGGGGTGCGCCGAAATGGCCTGGAGAAGATATGCGAACGCAGCCGCTGGGGCTTTCGGTGGAGTTCCCTATGGGGCCACGAAGCGTGTGAGGGGAGGGTGGAGCTCGCTGTGAAGCCACGAAATGTGTGAGGGGGGTGTGCCAAAGTGGGGTGGGGAGGGCATGCGGGCGCAGCCACTGGGGCCTCAGGTGGAGCTCCCTGTGGGGCCACGCAACGTATGAGGGGTGCGCCAAAGTGGGGTGTGGCGGCGGCATGCGGGCGCAACCACTGGGGCCTTAGGTGGAGCTCCATATGGAGGAGGAGGAGGAGGAGGAGGAGGAGGAGGAGGAGGAGGAGGAGAGGAGGAGGAGGAGGAGGCAGAGGGGGAGGAAGGAGGAGGAGGAGGGAGGAGGAGGAGGAGGAGGGGAGGAGGAGGAGGAGAGGAGGAGGAGGAGGAGGAGGAGGAGGAGGGGAGGAGGAGGAGGAGGAGGAGGGAGAGAGAGGGACTGAGGAGGGAGAGGAGGAGAGAGGAGGGGAGGAGGAGGAGGAGGAGGAAGGAGGGCGCGCCTGCGCTCGGCGCCCAGGGCTGCGGTGGGCCCCCCCCCCCGCGCCCGGCAGAGCAGCGCGCTCGCCAGGCTGGCGTGGAGCCCCAGCCCGCCAGCACCGCCGTTGCTGGCCTTCCTCCTCCTCCTCCTCCTCCTCCTCCTCCTCCTCCTCCTGCCCCCATCGCGCTGCGCGCGGGGTCTCTGTAGACCCTCCTGAGGGCAAGGCGGGGGCGGGACCGCGCCTGCCTCGCGCTGGCCGAGGGCGGGGCGGGGCTCCGGAGCCCCTCCCGCGCCCCCACGTGCCGGCACGTGCGCTCGGCTGGGGTGGGGCCCCCGCCCCGCCGGCACCGCAGGTGCGGGCTGCCACCTTCGCGGTGCGCTGGGGCAGTTTCTGATCCGCGACCGGTGTACCTGGGGACCTCTCCCCTTGGGCCCGGCCGCGGATGGCCCCCTCCTCGATGCACGCAATGCGCCGGCGTGTAGCTGGGGGAACAGCGTCTTTTCGGAGGGAGCGTTCAGAGGGGGTGTCCCGTGCTTCCCCCCCCCCGGTCTTGGGCGGCGGACCGCTGTGCGGCTGAACCCACATAGCGCCACATCAAAGGACCCTCCCGCTCCCTGTCTCCTCGCATTAGGTGAGTTCACCGCGGGAGAATCTCTATCTAGAGCATGCCTTGATTCGTGAAGATTCGATGTGGCCTGGCCTGGTCTGGATGTCGGCACCCCTGACCCAGAACATCCTGACCTTGACTCGAGCCGTCCGACCGTGGCTCCAGGGCTGGTCCAGTCGACGGCGACACTGAGCCAGGCACAGATGTGACAGCACACGTTCCCCTTCCGTCGCCGCGGCCGCGTCCCCATCCAAGGTCCGCCGCGGGTAGGGCCTCGCACGGCGCCCCGAGATCCTCAGGGCAGGGCGCAGGCGTAGGATCTGAGGCAATCACCGTATACATTCCGTAGTTTGAGGCCCCAGCCAGCCCCCCCATGAACTTTCGCGAGCGACCCTTTTTGATGGGTTTTTGAGAGTTCGGGGGGGCTGGGTCTTCTGGCGTAGGATGAGGGCCACTAGACGTGCCCGATGTCGACGGCGGCGGGGCCACCGATCTCGACGGCGCGATCGGTGGGGTCGGAATATTTCGGACTGGTTCTATTTGCATGATGCTGCGGACCTTCGCGGCATCCCTCAGCGGTAGACCCATCCCTGCTTCCAAGACGGCTTGAAGCAGGGTTTCGTCGTCCGAGGGGTCCAGAGTTCTGGACCGTCTGGCGCGGAGTCCCGCCGCATTTCGAACAACCTTTTGTCTGGACCTCTTGCTGGCTGGGTCTGGTCCCTTCGAGGGCTTGCGCGGGTGAAGGGACCTCCTTGTCTGGTGAATCGTGCGTATCTCTGAAAGTCTGGTGTCAACGTTGATTTTGAACCAATTGCCTGAACTATCACCACTTGCATCATCAGCCCTGCACTCGACACTGAGGTCCCTGGCCGTATCCGAGGCCAGGACGGCATCCAACAAGTTATTCGGGACCCGATTCCAAGTCCAAGTAGTGTTCGACGGGTCTTAAATTGACCCTCGTTGGATATTCGTCCACTTTGAGTCCTGAAGCTTCTGTGTGCAGACGTTACGGTCTGCTGCGATGACCCAGGGCAGCTGGGTGAGCCGGAGGAAATCTTTGAGGTTATTCAACTTCTCAACGTGTGCCCCAGTGACTTCGGCCCCTGGCGTTGGGTACCGTACGATAAACATGACAGCGGTTCGTCCCGTGAGCTCGGTCGCGACGGGTGCAACATCCTAGAGTTTTGCGGTTCCACGCAAGTCTTTGAGTGAATGGCTCCTGATGTGTTTGCGACCCCCCTTTGCCTAATTCAAGCTTCGCGCGGCCCGCTTAGCTTCGACCGGAAGAGGTGCGCTCTCGACCCTCGGATCAAAAAGTGTTTGCGAACCCCCGAGGCCACACCACCAGATCTTTTCTCTTCCCCTTCTGCCCCTGGCGGGCACAGGGCAGCTTTCCAACAGTGTTTGTACATGGGGTTGATAAGACAGTCCGAGTTTTCAGAGCGGGCCTCTGTGCACACCACCGCGTCTGCACCTGACACCATCTTTCACGTCATTGAGGGTTCCAGTTCCCCGTGGTGTGATGTCACGGAAATCACACGCTAGCTGTCTGTTCTGCGTTGCTGTTATTTGCCCTCCTTCCCTCTGGCGGGATGCCTGTGGGGACGTCGGGGCATCACGTGGTTCTGCATGCTGGCTTGCGCTAAGAGAACGGTGCACCTCCCTGCTGGTGACATGTTCTACAGGGGTATACACCTTAGGCGATGCTTAAGAAAACTTCAGTTTTCGGCCAGAGTCTCGATTATTCTTAATGTTTCAATGTAAATCCTAAGATTTGAATAGACATTCTGGGTTTTTATTCAAGTTCTAAGACTGTGAATTTCTTAACCCATGATTTCTTAAGCATTTCGCAGGGTGTATAGCGCTTACTGCCGACGACGTGCCTGGGACGACTGGTCGCGCCTTCCGCCTCGCCATCACCTTCCGCGGATGGCTGCTCCACCCTCGGCACGTCTCCTTTTTGCAGAAAGCCCTGCCGTTTGCTTGAGATGTTCCTCTCCCGCCTTGGCCGCCTTTGCAGCCGCAGCAGCAAAGAGAGTCTTGGCCCCTTCCCGGAGCCCTGTGACGAGTTGCTTACGTCTCTCCTCTGCTTGTTCGAATTCTTCCCTTTCGAGATCCTCGCCACCCCCTAAGTCGAATACAGAAATTGTCGACGAGCCCGTCCATCTTCCCGTCGAGCAGAGCGGCGAGTGACAGGGTGGGCCTGGCGGAGGCGACGGGATTAGGGCTGGTGGTGGAGTATGCGACTGAGAGCGCAATCTTGTCGCAGCTGCCCTGGAGCTCTCAGAGTTTCGGCATTACCGTTACTGTATGCTCCCAGTGCTGCTCAATGTCTTTCTGCCATTTCTGATACGTTGTAATTGCTTTGTGGAGCCTGCCCTCTTGGTCGTCAAGGGTCCTTGCTGCAGCCAACTGACTCTCCAACGGCGGCGGCGGCGGCCGTGGAGATTTGCTGAGCTGCTCGATCCCAACCTGGCAGGCCAGCACAAAATCGCTCTGGCCACACTATCCCGCGGTGGTAGCCATAACCCCCAGCTCCTGGAGGTCGAGGCTGGAGACGTCCACAGCTGGCTGCTCGCGTGGGGCCCCTTGGCCCACTGGGACCTTGTCCAAAGCTCACGAAGTCCTCCGTCAGCGGGTTCAGCAGGCTTTCAGTCCTCTCAGCGGGTCCAGCAGGCTTTCAGTCCGTGTCTGGTTTTTTCGCGCATCCACATCCCGGGCACTTCCACATATGGCTCTTCGGCGGCTTCCTGACCCTAGATGCGCGGACCCAGTTCCAACTCTCTGTCACATCGCCGCGAGCAGCAGAAACAGACGCCATGCTGACAGCGGGGTGCGCTCAAGGTGCGCGCGGCAGCAGCACCAGGGGCGGACCATATGATGGAATCTGTGAAGGCTGTTCCGCGGAACAGCGGCACCCACGTGGTTCGTTGCGAACCTCAAAATTTTGAACCAAAATGGCTACGGACACGTGGGGGGCAGAGGTAAGGGATTGGAGGAGGAGGGCGAGGAGGAGACGCCCGGCGCTGTTTATTCAACACGATGGCCCAATTCAGCACAGGATGGCTGGGACATACGAAAAGTTGCAGACGCACGTTTATGTATGCTCTTATTCCCGAGGATGAAGAGGAGGAAGAGGAGGAGGAGGAGGAGCTGGAGGAGGATGCAGGAACGTTACCTCGATGCACACAGCCCAGCTCGGCAGCTTCTCTCGCTTGCTGAGGTGGTTATCATGATGATGGACAGGCACCCGCCGCAGGTGCATCTAAAGGATCTGCCGCCCACTCGTGTTCTTGACTCAGAGGAGGAAGATGAGGAAAGTAGTAATCACAATCTACAGAATGCGAATGACAGCGCAGAACATGGTGTGGATATCAACCAGACGATGCGTACCAGCAACACGGTTAAGACTATTGATAGAGGGATAATGATAAACAAAAAGAGGAGGGAAGAGGGAGGAGGAGGATAATGAGGAGGAGGAGGAGGAGGAGGCGGAGGACGAGGAGGAGGAGCACGAGGAAGAGGAGGAGGAGGAGGAGGAGGACAAGGATAAGGACAAGGAGGAGGAGGAGGACCGGGGTCTCCGAGTTCCCCTTGTCATAGGCCCCATACATGGTTTCATGTTTCACTGGAGAAGTAGCCCGTTGGAAGACAACCGTTTGGAACTCCTGAACTGTGCCAGAATACTAGTTCTGGGATTTCAACGCCGCGAATCACCGCTACTGTTGCGTCTTGACGATGCTGAGCCGTGCCAGAACACCATTCCTGGGACTTCACACCACGAATCAACGTAACTTTGTCGCCCTGACAATCCTAAGTCGTGCCGAAGCATCAGAGAATCCTTGAAACTACTGTAAACTCTGACCGCGAATGTGCGCGGCGCTCAGGCGAGAGCCACCTTTTGAAAAGGAAGCGCCCTCCATCCGTGACGTTCTGATTGCATTCTCAGAGGAATGTTCGCGGCGCCGAGGCGATGGCCACATCTTGAAAACGACCCGCCCTTCATCTGCAACAGTTTATGCAACTTCTAAGAGGAACGTGCGCCGCGCAAAGGCGAGAGCCAGATTTCCAAACGACCCGCCCTTCATCTGTGAAGCTCCTACCGTTTTTGTAAGAGCGGCTGTGCGCGGCCGAGAGGAGAGAGCCACGTTCTGAGAGCGACCCGCCTTCCATCCGTGAAGCTGTCGCAGGTCGTATGCTTCGGGGTCCCCAGTGGTGAGGAGTGCTCAGGCGAAACGCCCCGTTCGTCCTTTCGGCTGGCCTCGGGATGCGGTAGGGAGGAGCTGCTTATCAGGAAAAGGAATGGGGGTGAGGAGGAGGAGGAGCAGGAGGAGTAGGAGGAGGGGGAGGAGGAGGAGGAGGAGGAGGAGGAGGAGGAGAAGGAGAAGGAGGAGGAGGCGGAGCAGGAGGAGGAATAGGAGGACCAGGCGAGGTCAGGGGGGGGGAGCGGGAGGGAGGATCGAGGAGGCGGCCTATCTATTAATGAAACAGCGCGTTCTGTGGACGCTGGGAGGGGGGGTTCGAACCGTATGGGGGGCGAGCTCCTCCCCCGTCAAGGTGCGAACCGCCCCTCCCACCTCCTCCAGGGGGAGTGGGCGGGGTTCGAGCCGGGCCCCCCCCCTTTGAATTGCAGGGGGGGGGGGGGTCGAACCGGGCCCCCCGCCCTCCCCAGTGGGAAATGACGACGGCGAGCGCTGGCGCAGGCGCCCGTACCGTCGGGCAGCCACGACGACGACGACCACGACGACGACGACGACCACGACGACGATGACGGGATCGACGACGGCGATGATGATGACGACGGCGACTTCGACGACGCCTATGACGACGACGGCGTTGTCGAGGTCGACGACGACCACGGCCACGACGACGATGACGATGACGATGAGGATGGCGTCCAGGATGGGGATGACGATGGTAATGATGGTGATGATGGTGATGATGATGATGATGATGATGATGATGATGATGATGATGATGATGCGGATGACTATCATGACGATGGAGATTGCCGTGACGATGATGGTGAAGATGGTGACGATAATGATGGTGATGGTGATGTTGATGTTGATGTTGAAAGGGTGATGATGCTGGTGATGAACAATGAAGATGATGAAAAACGATTACGATGACGATGACGATGACGATGACGATGACGATGACGATGATGATGATGATGATGATGATGGTGATGATGATGATGATGATCATGACGCTGATGATTGATGCTGCTGCTGATGATGTTGATCATGATGCTGCTGCTGATGAAGATGATGATCATCATGATGATGGTGTCGACGATGAGGCTGGTGGTGATGATGCGGATGATGATGGTGCCCTTGATGCTGATCATGGTGATTATTACGATGATGGTGATTGCGACGAGGCAGACGAAGGGATACACAGGGTCATGGAAGGACATGTTCATGGGAGAGACGACACCAGCTTTCATAATCAAATATTGTGGAGGTGGAGAGGTAGGCTGCCGGAGCGCTCCGTCTTCCTTTGCGCCCGTCTCATTGCTCCTTCATCTTTCTTTCATCGTCGTCCGATCGCCTCTTTCCCCCCTCCTCGCCCCTCTCCTTTCCTCCCTGCTCCTCCCCTCTCCTTTCCTCCCTGCTCCTCCCCTCCCCTTTCCTCCTCCCCTCTGACCTCCTCTTCTCTCCCCTGCCCTCCTCGTGGCACCCCGTCGCGGGCCCTGGTCAGAGTGTGGGGAGCTCTGTCCTCCAGGGTAACAAATCCCTCTCTGAGGGGTGCCACTTCCCCCCATTGTTTTAGTCTTGCGAGACTCTTCCCCTCGGGGCTGTCCTAACCTAATCCCCTGCCCTCCTCTTCCCGCGCCCCGTCCCCTCGGGTACAGCTTCCTCTGCGGCTTCGGCCAGGGCTTGTAGCACGGGTGGGTCGCCGCAGCGCCCCCTGCATTCACCTCTGTTCGAGGACCGCGACGGTGGAGGTGAGGGGCGTGGGGGGGCTCCGCGGAAGTTGGCCAGGCGCGCTCCTCTCTCCTCTCTCCTCTCTCCTCTCTCCTCTCTCCTCTCTCCTCTCTCCTCTCTCCTCCTCCTCCTCCTCCTCCTCCTCCTCCTCCTCCTCTCTCCTCCTCCTCCTCCTCCTCCTCCTCCTCCTCCTCCTCCTCCTCCTCCTCCTCCTCCTCCTCCTCCCCCTCCTCGTCTTCCTCGGCTCGCCCCCCACCGTGGGCCCTCGATCCCTCGGCGGCGGAGGAGTTCATGGACCTCTGCGAGTTGACCTTCCTGGTCATCTTCACCGTCGAGATGGCCCCCGCCCCCCCCCCCCGGGCGCCGCAAGCCTTGCGTCGCGGCCGGGCCGCAGGGGCGAGGGACACACGTCGTGCGAGGAAAGGGGCCAGGGGTGGCAAGAAACGTCGGCTGGGGGTGGGCCATCGGGTGGTGCCACGATGGCCAGGTCCGTGGGGAGGGGGGGCCCGGGCGGGCTCAGCGGGAACACCTGTCGAGTCTTGACCAGCAGGAGGCGGCGTGGAGCGGGGGCGAGGAGGAAGTGGGAGGATGATGCTGATGAGGCGGAGGGGGGGGCGGATGGGGGATGGGGGAGGGGAATCAGGGCGCAGGATGAGGCGCGATGTCGGTTGTAGGTGCCAGATGGCGAAGACAACAACGGGAAGGGGGAGGAGGGAGGAATGGGCGAGAGGGAACAGGGAGGAGAGGAAGGCATGAATGTATGGATGAATGCACAGAGGGATGAAGGGCGGAGGAGGGTCAGAGTGAGTGAGATGAGGTGATGGTGACCTAGTGAGGGAGAATAAATGGTGGGACGCGGGAGGAATATGAGGAAGTGGAGGAAGAGGAGGGCGCTGACGATGATGAAACTGATGAAGATGATGATAATAATGATGCTGATGTTGTTGTTGATACTGATGATTATGATGATGCTGCGGATGATGATGATGATGATGATGATGATGATGATGATGATGATGATGATGATGATGATGATGATGATTATCATGACGATGATGATGATGATGATGATGATGATGATGATGATGATGATAAATGAAGGTGGTGGTGGTGATGATACTTATGGTGATGATGGTGATGGTGATGGTGATGGTGATGATGCTGAGGATGGTGATATTGCTGATGCTGATGATGGGATGATAATGATGAGGATTGGGATGAGGAGGAGGATTAGCATGATGATGATGATCGGATGGTGACGATGATGATGATGATGATGATGATGATGATGATGATGATGAGGATGATGATGATGCTGATGATGCTGCTGATTACGAGGATGCTGATGATGCTGATGATGATAATGCTGTTGATGCTGATCCTGATACGGATGAAGATGATGATGATGATGATGCTGATGTTGATCCTGATGCTGCTGATGCCGCTGTTGATGCTGCTGTTGCTGCTGCTGCTGATGATTGTGTCGCTGATGATGATGGTCATGGCCATGGCCATGATGATGCTGATGATGCTGCTGATGGTGACGATGATACTACCAATGATGATGCTGCTGCTGATGATGATGCTGCTGATGGTGATGAAGCTGATGGTGCTGATGAGGTTGATGATCATGATGATGATGCTGCTGTTGATTCTGCTGCTGATGATGCTAAGGACGATGACTATGATTATGATGATAATGCTGATGCTGCTGCTGATGATGATCCTGATGATGATGCTGCTGATGACGATGACTGTTCATGGTGATGACGATGTTGACAATGATGACGGTGATGATAATGATGACCATGATGATGCGGATGATGATGATGATGATGATGATGATGATGATGATGATGCTGTTGACGATGATGACGATGATTATGCTGGTGATTACGATGTTGTTGATGATGCTGATGATGATGTTGATGATAAGTACGAGATTGATGATGATGCTTGTGATGAGAGGGATGATGATGATGAAGATGATGATGCTGATGATGATGATGATGATGATGACGACGATGATGATGATGATGATGATGATGATGATGATGATGATGATGATGATGATGATGATGATGATGATGATGATGATGATACTATTAATGATGATTCTATTAATGATGATGATGTTGTTGATGATGATAATGATGATGGTCATGCTGATCATGACGCTGATTATGATAGGACGGTGATGATGGTGCTGATGCTGATGGTATTGCTGCTAATGAGGATGATGATATAATGGTGATGGTGATGCTGATAATGCTGAGCTACTGCTGCTGATGATGATGATTATGATGACGATCATGATGCTGCTGCTGCTGATGCTGATGCTGTTGCTGATGCTGATGCTGATGCTGATGTTGATGATGATGATGATGAGGAGGATGAGGAGGAGCAATATTATGATAATGCATATGAGGAGGAGCAGGAGGAGGAAGAGGAGGAGGAGGAGGAGGAAGAGGAGCAGGCGAAGGTGTGCCCCTGGAATTGCCTGGCTCACCCGTTTGATCAATCTCCCCCAGAGCCGACCGGCCCTTGGGCGCGGGATGGCCGTGTCCGGAGGACCCGTTGGCCGAGAGAGAGAGAGAGAGAGAGAGATAGAGGCGAAGGCGGAGGTGGTAGTGGCTGACGAGGCGAAGGTGGAGGTGGACGTGGAGGATGAGAATGAGGAGGAGGAGGAGGAGGAGGAGGAGGAGGAGGAGGAGGAGGACGATGAGGACGAAGATGATGCCGATGAAGACAAGGATGCGAATTGGCAGTGAGGGTGCTGATGCCGATGCTGGTGCTGCTGGCGATGACGACCACTGAGCTCTCGAGCTGGTTTCACCAGGAGGCCTGCACGGGGCGGGAAGAAGAGGACTGCCTGGCTGCAGGACCCTCCCGTAGTGCTGTCGGTTCC